AATAAAAGCTCATGAGGAATCCTTTCTTTGCAAGTTTTTAAACTCTGGAATGCACTGCAAACAATGCATTGTCAAATAAAAGAAATGATAATCTAATTTTAGACGCAGTTTCTTACCATTCAGCATAGGTTCTGCCTTGGCTAGTTGACTTATAATTCATACGTTATTAATTTCTGAATACACAAATTGTATAAATATATAATAAGATATTATTAGAGTTTTCTAGTTAAGAAAACTTACAATTTGTAACCCTCAATATTTCCATGATGAAGAAAAATACTTAGAAAATACTTCAATATCCTAATTATTTCATATATGATGTTCACCCAAGACAAGAGCCACTCAAGGTAGAGCGTTACTGAATGAGGTTGTTGTATAGACGTAAGAGGAAGATTATGAGGATATGTAGGATAGATAACGCTTTAGCGTCAAAATTAACCACCTTTAACATCAGTAGGAGGCACGGTGGAGTAATGGTGGTGTGGTGGGGAGGGGGTAACAGATGTAAAGAATATTTTTACTAAGATTTTTTAAAAAAGAAAGACTCAAAAATCATTCCATTCATTTCTAAATAAGTCCTGAAAGTTTCATTAAAATTCTACAATTATTTAATTTTTGCAAGAATTTCCAAATTAATACGTTTTTCACAGAAAAAAAACAAAACAATAAAACAAAAAAACGAAAACAACAACAAAAAAAAAAAACGCTAAAATTTCCTGTAGTAATTTATGGTTGGACGAAGAATGCTAAGGATATCTTGGGCCGAGTGTGTGAGCAACGATGAGGTCTTGGAGAGGAAGCAATCGAGAGGGAGCTTATACTTAACATCAGGAAGAGGCAGATGAAATTTTTGGGTTACGTAATGAGAAAGGAGGGCCTAGAGAATTTGATACTCACAAGTCGAATAGAGGGGAAAGAGAGACAAGGGAAAGCAACGCATGACATAGCTGGCAGAGTTAAGCAAGTGGACGACAGAACAGGGCCTGGGGGAAGTAGCAAAGGGATAAAACTTATTGAGGGCTACAAGGGATAGGGGAAATGGAGAGCCTACGTCCTTAAGGGACACGGCACATAGAAGAAGAAGAAGAAGAAGAAGAAGAAGAAGAAGAAGAAGAAGAAGAAGAAGAAGAAGAATGGCATCAAAAACACCAAACTAGAAGAGAAAAAGTGATTGTGTCCAGTCTCCATATTGGATATACTGCTATAAAGGATGGATGGCCTGGAGAATCAGATACTCATAAGTCGAATAGAGGGTAAAAGAGACAAAGGAAAGCAACGCATGACATACGAGGCGGGCTTAAGCAAGTGGATGACAGAACATGGATTGAGAGAAGTAGCAAAGGGATAAAACTTATTGAGAGCTACAAGGGATAAGGGGAGTAATGGATAGCGTCTTGGATTGAGGAATCGGAGAGCCGAGTTCAAATTCCAGTCGAATCCATTACATTCACTTACGTGCTAATACCCTTGGGAAAGGTGTGAATCCTCTTCTTCTCCCTCCAGCTATGGGTAAATAGCAGGACAGACTGGGTTCTATAGCCTTGGATGGCAACTGGTCTAAGAGAAGGAAAACTCTGAATTCAAAACCTGCGGAGGGTCGTTTGGGGACCTTGTGGCACGTAGTGCACCAGCTCTCTGTAATTGGCCCTTCAAAAAGTGTGATTGGTCCTGCACGAAACCTTCACCACTATAATCAAATTTCATGTGCTATACATGCGGGTTTGGGGACCGCTTGTGAATTCCAAATTCTCATGAAACTCCAATATTGGAGCCGACTCAACCTACCCCGGGTGAATGCCGTTACAGGTACAGGGAGGAGGGGGTTAACATCAGTGAATTGCCTTTTTTTTTGATATCGTTAAAAGCAAAGCATACAACTTTGTGCCTTAAAAATTCTGTTCAAATAGATTCATTTTTAACAGAAAAAGAAATTATGCGTTTTACATTTGGGACAGCATTCCCGTTTTTGTGATAATACTCACAAAGTTCAGGCTGTTATATCCATCGACCTTTTTCAGTCGTACTGAATAACCTTCAAGAAATTTTGATCCGATCCCTTTGTTCAATGACGGTGGGGTTGCTTGTTCTTATTCTGTTTTCCAAGCTCCGGAGGGTTAACTCATATCATTTCTCTCTTGTCTATTCACCCTTGTGTCGTTATCTGGCGCACATAATGAGAAAAGAGGGCTTGTAAAATTTGACACACACAGGACATATCAAAAGTAAAAGGGACAGAGAGAGCTTGTGTGAATGGAGGACGGTAAAAAGATAAAACCTTATTAATCGTTACAAAGAATAGGAAGTTGTGGAGAGCTGAATAGACACAGCACATAGAAGAAGAAGAAGAAGAAGAAGAAGAGGAAGTCTATCTGTTTGCTCGTTTCTTTCACTGAATTAGAGTCAGTCAGTTATGTGCAATGCGCGATACACGCTTAAGCGATCATCTTTCGATACATGACTGACGAGGTAGATTTTTTCCCGCAGTAGGTTGCCACTTCTT